TTAAAACACTGTATTATTGTTTAATATGAGAGCTTTATGGAAAAACAACCACCTTGGAACCATATAGAGTATGGACCACTTGGCTTGCTGAGACTGGACAATGGAAAAACCCACTCTGATGGAAAAATATGCTGTTTGACGAAAGGACAAAATAGTGAGAAATTGACTCTGACTTGGAGAGAGACGCTAATGGTCTCTGTGGCCATTGGCTGCCTTTGACTTTCTCACTCTGCCTAATCATTGTTGGAACTGCATTATGTGTTTACTATATGTACTTGTCTTATATTGTTTACCAGATATTTATATCAATCAGCTTCAAGCTCAACATTTTCAGAACATCACTAGTGACAATGTTATGAATCACATTAAAGCATTGTGGCACCTTTATAGTAGTCTGGGGAATGTGTTGATTGTGTGCTGGTACTCATGTCAGTAGATACACAGACATAGATAACGTTGATCATTGGTGCATTGGGTTGCTTTTATGTTGATCACAGACAGAGGACCAAAAGCACAAATCTTCCTCTTCTTCACATGAGATTATCTAATCACAACCACATCCAGCATAATGCTTTTAATAGCTGTCAATGAAGAACAAGAATAACTCGCTTTGATCGAGTTACTAAGACATAAAGAACATTAATAAAAGGTTGTTGACATAGCAAAGTAGATCTATACAGGTCTAAACCATGGTGTTGATTTTCACAACAGTGACCAAACTGAAAGCTCTAATTTTGAAAAAAAAAAAAAAAAAAAAATTGAATGCAACATTTTTTAAGGAATGTGTTTCTGTGACATTACTGGAATGGCAGTATGAAACTGCTCACTCACAGAGAGTAAACTTTCAAAGAAAAAGCTCATGTCTTTTGCAATCTCAGTTTGTTCACGAGATGGAAGAAGCAGTCAGCTTCATTGTGTATATGTTTATTTAAAAAGCTTTATTTAAGGATGGAAAACAACGATAACAACACATGTATTGTGCGTGTCATCCACCACCAAGGACTGTGTTGTGACATGATTTGTGTTCAGCGTGTTACAGTGTAACATGGCGTTGATAATGATGACTGAAAATGTGTTTTATGCTCACAGTACACACGTATACATGTGTCATGATGAGATGGCTCCTACAACAACACCTTTGAATATGCTGGTTCTTGAACGGGACATTGCTGTGCTGGGGTTGGACCCATAGTGTATAAACTTAGACAGTTGGTCCACAAATATCATCTGTCAAATTTCCAGTGTGAACATAACTGTATACATCATGAAGGAAATAATATGGACCTATTCATGGTAGCTCTCTAAAATAAAATATTCTATTTTGTAATGGCTTTTTCTTTATGCCTCATCTGAATATTTTAGAATTTAACAGGAGACAGATAATGTTGGCAAATGAGGTTGTGACATATGAGAGGATTGGTAAAGCTTTGAATTTCTGACCCTGCAGACAACTATTTTACACAGACAGCTCTAAGTAGACCTTTTTGCATAGTCTGGAAGACAAAGTGATTATAGGTGACACTCGATCCTACAGTGCAGAAATGACCTGATTCTCTCAGCCACAACAGAGACATAATTGGAATGCATAAGAGCATGAGTTACAGGGAAGAATTTGAAGAAGAACCTGATCCGGTGCAAGCACGCTGAAAAGCTGAGGGGAGGGTTGGAGAGTGTGCCCGGGTAATCTCCTTATTTCAGGCCGGAAAACATTGATCTTAAGAAAGGCAAAGGGGGGAAGAAACAGAGGGATCAGGCTGGAAGGTTTTAAGGGAGAAGAAAAAGTCAAGTCAAGGGTACAGATAGTTGGTGTTGGAACATATTTATTCAAAAACTAACAGAACAAAAGACGTTATTAAATTCACAAAAGTGGCTGGATCGTCATGTGGATAATTTATCATTAAGCAAATGCCATCCTTTTTTATTGAGTCACATTACAACGATGTGGAAAGTCTGACTTAAAGTATTCCCCAACACAAAGTCGAGAATTGCTGTAGCTCATGTTCACTTTACAGCCTAACAACAACAGAAACTAAAGCTCAGTTTTAAAAACTAAATATAACATCTTGCTTTGTGATATATTAAATAATTCTATTTTGTAACTCAAAATTATGGTAATTCTTCACACTCAACTCTACCATGACTATTTTCACCTTCTGCCAATTCACTGCAGGGAGGCACACAGAGTAATCTTCTGTTCACACGCACTCACCCACAAACGCACGCGCACACACACACGTACACATGCACACACACACACACACACACACACACATAGATGTGGCTTCACATCAAGAAATCTGTTACATTTTTACATTTCAGTTCAGTCAGTTTCCTCATGGGACCGACTTATACAGAATGTGTCCTAATTCTGACTGTGCTTGTTAGAGAGCGTCAGAGCACATTTGCAACACAGCTAACTCATCTTGACTGGTGACTACAAAATTAGGACAAAATCACAATGTGTGATACAGATTGGAATTGGAAGTTACAGCTTTTAGAAAGTTCTGATGAACGAAGACTTTGCTCAAAATGTCTGTTTTTATCACATTTCACTCACAGACACAGTGGCGTCACATACACCTGTCAATATATGCAGTCAGTGCAGGCATCTTGATAAAAAGGTCAGACAGTCATAGTCCTAGTTTTTGTGAGCAGGGTCAAAGCCCTGGAATGGGTTCTACATTAGGTTTCTCCACTGTCCACTGCAAGACAGCGTGGTGATATTTTTATGCTCAACCAATCAGGGCTGCTTGGATCTAGTATTTGTCCTTGGCCGCTGGCACACAAACTGCCATGCACAAATAGGCTAAAAGGTTATAGGGTGACGCCTGACTTTATTTGACACCCACTGCAGTGAAATAACAAAATCATAAGATTGATATTATACCAGACACATTTGAGCAGGCCTCCAATCCACTCCAGCTTCCCTTCTTCCACTGAGAATGGAAAGGCAGAAATTGTCACATCACACAACTCCTCTTGTGGATCTGCTGGCACCACAGCAATAGCCACGCAGAAGAGATACGCAAAAGTGCTGCCAAAAGTCCAAAATGAAAGTTCTGGGAGGTTAAAGGGATCCAATGTCCAATCTGGGAGAAACTTCGACGTCTGACCCTGTAAGCCGTACTGTAAGCAGATGGAGAAATCAGAGGGACAAAGGCCAGAGAGCTTGGGATTTTCCTAAATGTCGGAAATGCCACAAATGAGAAAGAACTTTGTGGAAAAATTTAAGAGCATCAAGTATAGAGACAAATCAAAGCTGAGACGCCACTGCACGAACACCCTCCTCTGATGCTCCACTGAACAGAGCTGTCAAACCTGCCGAAGCTAAAACAGCGAGAGACTGTTGTGGTATTGCTCCAGCAGTGGCACCTATAACTGAGCATCAGTGAGCGAGAAGAAAAAATAAGGAGCCAACTAGGATTTTACATGACTTTAACGGAAATCATCCACACTTTGTTAAAGAAAGTTGAGATTTTGTTCGTTTGCACCCCCGCTGACTTTGTTTTGTTTTTCTTTCCTCTTGACTGTTTGCTAAGAAGTTTACCTTTACATTATGCATCATTTTCAGCTTTCTTGTGATAAAGAACACAGTGAGCAGTGAATGCATGAAATGTGTTGTGTTCACTCAGCACAGCAGGATCAGGGCCAGGAGAACAATCTGACCAGCTGCATGTGAATGCAGGTTTTACAGTAATCAGGTTATTGCAGTGTTTGGAAATGCGCTCTCAGATTTCCTGTCTCAATCAGATTTCATTGACCACGTCATTTTCTGCAGAAAGGTTACGAGCAGTACAACTGATACTTTTAGGGCGTGGGTATGACGAGAAAAAAAAAGTAACATAATATTTGAATGCAGCTTGAGCCTGGACAAAAGGCCACTGCAGTCAAACTCTCACCATAAAGATCCCTGTTCTCCCATCAGCTGGTGGGACAGACTATACTGGGAACATAGCCAAAGGCAGGAAATAGCTCTTGAATGTGTGTGATGGACATGCTGCTTCTAACATTATGAAATGAGAGATTTTCAGAAAAAAAAAAAAAAAAAACATGGACATATCGTCTGTAAAAGACAAAAGCGAATAGTCATTCTCTCCAGCTACTGAAGGACAGTGACTTTTGCCCTTTGATAATTATCAGCCAATTCACACATTCCTTTCTTTTGAGCTCAGAGTGAGCTCGTGCAGCCTAGGGGGTGTACCTTGGCTGCTTCCCACTCATTTCCATTGCAAAAGGTACAAGTGACCAGCCGCTGACAGAGGGCAACAGGTCAGCCTGGAATACACAAGGTCAAACAAATGGTTCAGTCACTCAATTAAGTCTTCAGTTCATCGCACAGTGTGAAAGAGCTTTCGGACATCTTTCTCTAAAGTGGACTTCATTTGACTAGAATTTGTAGGTTGTGACTTTTAAAAGGGTGAGAAGCCAAAAGGGGACAATTAACTTACCTTGAAGCTATATTTAAACATTCACTTTAATCCTGCTGAAAATAAGCTTCTCCTGTATAATTATGACATCCTGATATAATTGTCTGTGGCTCTTTTGGAGAGTTTTGCAAGTGAACAGTGGTTAAAGGTGTAGAAAATTAACTATCTGATCTACTTATTAGCCTTGTTCGTTTGTGCAATCTATTCTCCATGTAAGCGAGGTGTTTCCCCTTAGGTAGAAGGAAAGCATGACACTGTGTTTTGCAATATAGATACAGGCCTAAACGTTCGATATTATAGTGCTGAGACTGGTTTAGCACAACACATTCTGTAAATATGGTTTCATTTTTATATTTTTAATATCTATTGATGTAAAATCTACTGGAAATGGTGGTATTCACGTTATCAGAATGGTTTAGTTTCCTGGTTTCTTCTCATTAGTGTATATGACACTGACCCCGCCTTCCCGAGTGAAGGAAATGATATTGAGCCAGTGTGAGCGGCCGCACGCTGGCAGCCTGTATCTTTAAGGGGCCATGTAGAGAAGGCGTGTTCACGCACACTACCGAGGCAGGAGGCATTGTAGTGAGTTATTGCGCTTCAGAGCAGCAGCATCTGAGGATGCGGTGACAGCCACAATAATATTTTTACAAAAAGAAGAGAGACGCGTTTGTCTGGCTGCGTTGTTTGGAGTCGCGAGTGTCGATCCGGGCGTTTTACATCTTTCTTTTGATGAACGCAGCCTCGTTGTCAAGCTGCTGGGGGGCCTAAGTGGTGCACCACCCGGCTTTTATGAATGGGATGCTCGGTAAGCGTGTGCGTTTTTATGTTTGTGCTTGCACTTAAACTATATCACTATATCAAATGTACCTTTTACATTTTTTTTTTGCATGCAGCTCAAATAGACCTGTATGTATTGGACAGGCCAGCTTTATTCAGTGGTTCAGTGGAGCGCACCGTGTAGCAAGGCAGCTGACGCTTTTGTGGTCAGCTACTTATTGTTCTCTGTGCTATTGACCCACCCAGAATCACAGCTTTATTGTAATATGATAGAACCAGCAGCCAGAGGTAAACGCCAGTGCTGTTAAATGGAAAGAATTAGTTTTACCGTTTGAAACATTTCCTCGTGGAGGCAATTCTTGTCTCAGGGAATCCAGATATTTTCTACAGCCCCTTTGAAACAATATGAATTTATTGGTGTTATCATCTTTATTTGCTTTGTGTCTTAAGCTGCAGTGTCACTTATTTTTAACTGATCACTTTTCTCCAAAGGAAAACTCTTTCATAGGCCTCACTCAGGCCAAAACTGTGTTTGATGACATATTGAGTGAATGTGTTGTAAATGTGAAAATTCATGTTTTTGCAATAATGATACCTTGAAAGATATCTTTAAACTTGCTCAATAATGAGTCAGCAACAGAGGAACTAAATAGAACCGATAAACATTGAATTGATGCTGGTTATTGATTTCACAGGATAAGATGACTAAACAAAAAAGCCCCACATTACAAACTTTCTGCCCCAACATGCAGTGCACACCTGGGTTATTTTGTCCAGTTCACTACCCACGTATCCCCTGGGCCTGCTGGCTTGGCAGTCCTGTTCAGCTTGCTTGGCATGGGTGTCACAATGGCATCTGATGAGCTCATTGACTGGAATAATAAGGTGATGAGCCTCAGGTCTGTAGGCCATCACTTCATCACCGCCATACTGATAAGTACTCCTCAGCAATTGTTTGAGGAGATAATGTTATCAGGGGGGTTCTGCTTGTGAGGTAATTTGGGAGGCTTTCTTCGTTTTCAAAAGGTTTAAATATGACATTTGGCCTGTGTTATCCAAAACACGCAGAGGGTTCTTCTGTGAGACGTTCAGTGATGGATTTAGGTTGAAGGCACAGCAAACAAGCAAACCTCATCGCCAAGATTTATGTGTCATAGGCTTAGCCTGTTTACTTTTTCCCAGAAGTGCCCCTGAAATGCCTCACTGAGCCGGCGACACATTTTTAACCAGCCTGCACAAGTTCTGCTCCCTCTACTTCCCTCTGTTTCTTAAATTACAAAGCATCTAATTGCCTGCAGGAGACATATGGTTAGTGCCTGAAGGTGAAAGTTATTCATCCTCCGTGTGGTGTTGGACACTGTGCCAAGCTCTGTGTTACTGGGCACAGTGCAGTGTACAGACAGCATTTCCTGGCTCAAAGCCCAGGAAACACAGCCTGCTCAGAATTTTTTGTTTACCAAAGTTGAATAAGTTTGTGCACCTTACTTTCATTTTTGAAGATGACCCACGTCCCTTTTGTGGTGCTGCTGAAGTGCAATTTTTAATGTGTTATTTGTGGCCAGTGAGTTTATAGTCTTGCACCCATGTTTGAACATGTCTGCAGTTTGTGTGCTCATTAGAGGCAATGTGTGTGTCCTGTCCAGCCCCTTCACATTCCAGGAAATACCAATATAAACTGTTTTTTTTGTTGTTGTTTTTTTTTTTTTTTTCCTGGAATGCCTATGAGCATGGTGATAGTGAACTGCTGGGTTATTATAGACAACACGACAGGTTTTTTGAATGATGTGCAGTTTGAGGAACAGGTTGGGTTGTTGTCATCAGCCTCAGTCACTAAACCACAGGTCTGCAAATGATGCACATAAATCCCAGCTAAGTGTAATTCTTACTAGTTGTTGAAAACTTTTTTTATTCACTTAGTTTTGATTGCTTGACATAGTTGCCACTGCCACTTTTTATGACCTTGTTGTTGTCCCATCCTTAAACTCTAACAGCATCTCATGTGTCAGTGTGTGAACGCTGTGTTTGTTCCTGTGTCTTTTGTTTGGAGGCATTGTTTTCTGTTCTTATCCAACATGCTGCATTGTGACCCAGCATGCTGGGGTTGGTGCTAAAAGTAGTAGGAAGTGTTCATTCTCTTTTTCCATCCTGTTTCCTTGCCACCAGTTGTAAATATTCTATAGACTTGATAGAGTTGAATAGACAATTACAGGTGCTTATTGTTTTGAATTGCACAAATGTTAAAGAGATTTTTCAGAGTTTAAGAAGTCGGTCTTTATTTTCATCTTGGATATTTTTTGCTATTTCATTTGTATTAATATTAAATTCTGAAAGAGACCTAATGCAGGTAAATCATCCAATTAAGAGTGACACTGTAGTTTGCCACTCTGTGGAGAAAAAATTCCCACACAAAGGTTGAGTGGTTTCTGATGTTTTTCAAAAAAGTGAAATCTTTGACGTAAATCGACCTCCAGTATAGCTGCTTCTTTGGCTTCCCTCCAGCCTGTGCATTTTGCTGCTTTTTTATGCTCTTCTGACTCTATAATTATGGCACTCTCGCACTTTAAAGCAAGATTCTCTGGATCCCATAATTTCCCTGCATTCTTTCCATCGAGGGGCACAGGTTTCCACTCGAGTGTTTTTCAAAATGTAAGCTCACTCCTCTTCTGCAGCCCTGAAGAGACACCTGGCCAGTCTGCGTCAGTCTGTCCTGGGTGACGGAACGGACATCTAGGCCTGAGGCCAGAGCTGTCATCAGCCGTGACTCAGCCACACGCGATGGAGAATATCCGGTCGTGTTTAGCTTCTAAAATAATTAAAGTAACTTCATCTTGCTCCATGTGCTGTTGCATTTGGAGCTGTTGTTGAACATACAGTCCCAGCACTGGCCCGAACCCCTGTTAGGTTATTAAAAACTGAGTGTTGATGGAGATATGAGCTGTGTTTGTTTGGTTAGCCCATCAGTAGTACAGTATGATGGAGGACAGCCTTGTTTACATTATGACTGGTCAGGAAGGGCAGGAAGAGTAGATTTCCGGAGAGATGGGAGGGCTACCGCCTCATTTTCTCCCTGCCCTTCCTGTGGACGAAGACCCCACCCCCCCCAGCCCCTAACCCCCAACATGTTTCTCCATGAATTGGCAGCTATGTATATTAAATCCGCTCTTTTGGAAAACAGTAGGCTAAGCGTTGAGTTTAGGTCACTGATGTCGGTCACTTATGTCACTGGTAATTAGTCATATTCCTGTAATTCTACGTGCATGTGCCATTTTAAAAGCACCCAGATGTCTTTGTGGAGACGGGGATAATTATTCATGACCTGGAGCTTGTTGCTGTGTTTTCATGATGACCAGCTGGGTGAGAATGGAAAAAGCTCAGAAGGTTTTTAGCCATGTCTCATTCCAGAAAACATTCACAAATAATGTTAAGTGGTTATTTCTGGCATGTTGTCTGCTTGATATCGCCAGTGTCCATTTTTCCTCTCTGCTCATTCTCTCAGATTATGTTGAGACCCTCTAACCCCCCCACCCCCCATGTTTACTTAGATGCATTGCCCAGTGCACAGATGACGGTGATGTTGAGCCATGCTGGCTGCGATTTCAGAAGCATGCTTTTTGTAATTTTTATTCTGATGGGAGGCGATAACAGGCCAGGAATGGACAGTATTGTTAACATATAAAAAGGCATTGTAGATCCACGAAAACAATGTTTATGAGTCTTGTTGAACCCACAGAATCATTTTCGTTCTTGAACGTGATGTAATGGAGTATGGCATTCTTGTCTGCCCTCCGCTGTTTGTGCCTGTAATGAAAGCTGTCGGCTTCATAAAAGCAGAGAACAGAGAGGGAGAGAGAGAGAAAGAGATGGAGTGTCGTGTCTGGAGGCTATGTTGGCTGTAAATGTAAAAAAGACAAGTCATCTCCTTTCGGGTGTCAGAGGTCAGCTGGTACACGTCAAGCTGACTCGCTGCAGGCCCTGTTCTCTGCCAGGAACCCTGTCATTGGCTGTTGGGGCTCTGCTCTGTCCTGGTCATCGTCTGTCTATCACTTCTTCTCACTGGCTCGCCTGACCTGCTTGTGTAACTAAAAAAGGACCTTTACTGTTGGCGTATTGATGATCGTAATGATGCTTTCAAGTTTGAAGTTTTGCTCCATTAACACAGCGACCGTTCCCCACTGACTGTATAGCATTAACAGTCTGTTTAGTTGTGTAATCATTTAGCAGTATGCTGCTGAGTGCTATTTTTAAACACCGCTGAGTTTTGTAAGTTTATTCTTCCAGTCAAAGCTGCTTACCTCAAATATTCCACTTACTGATCTAAGGATAGCGACAGATTTAGCACTCACCGATATCAGTGGTGCCAATTCAAAAACCCACAGGCACTTTTATTAGCAGGAAAGCTCTAAAGATCTGTTGTACTTTGATCCTTAGCGAGCAAAATGTCCTGCTGGGTTGAGTGTGACATTAGCTTAACCGACCGCCTCACACCAGCTTGCCAGGTAAAAACACTGATATGTGATTTTTTTTTTTTTTTTTTTTTTTTTTTTTTTTTGATGTTTGTGTTTGAGAAATGCACACACAGGCTTTTGACTTCTTCATGGTTTTCATTGATTAAGGATAAACTGTCTTTCATTTTGTTTTTTGTTTTTTGGAAAATGTCGCTCCAAGTTCATGATTTCTTGATTTGAGTATATAGTTATCTTTTGATTTGATCTGTCAGTTATTGTCTCAATTAATTGATTAGGTTTTTTGTGTATAAAATGTCAGAAAATAATGAAAACCGGCCCTTCAACTGTCTTGTTTTGTCTGACCAACAGCCCCAAAATACCATTTAAAAATGGTATAAAGCAGGGAAAAGCAGCAGATCCACTGGATGCCCATTATTAGTATAGTGGCCAGTTAAACTTCTATCAATCAACTGATCATTGCAGCTCTGCCTGTCAAAGTGTAATAAAATAGTTGGTCACAAAACAACAAGCCAACATGCACAGGCCAAGGTTGGCTCTGAACAGGCGGTGGTCAGCCACTGCCGGCAGAATCTGTGACCATGCCCAATGTTTCCCCATCATTTTGAGCATTTCACAGTAACAGAGTTTGGATTTTGGATTTGCTTTGCTCTTTAGACTGCTCTCGGGCTGTATTGGAACTGCATGGCGGAGAATGCCATGGCAAATGGGTAGTGTGGCGGGAGGGCACTCGAGATACCCTTTAGGTCAACGACTTGCTCTGAATCCATAACCCCACAAGCAAATAGCATGCTCATTCAAAGGGGCCCCAAATGGGCCGTTTCAGTAACAGCTAAATCTGGCTTTCTTTAATGTAAGCTTTTAGGGGCTTTATTTGTAAATTCTCATTAGATCAGTATGTTTTCTCATTGCCGCATTTATCTCAGAGGGCAGCATCAGCTTGATGTATGTTGTTCCCTGTCTGTGTGATTGAGAGATAATGTGATTTCCACTGTTTGTCCTAGGGCTGCTCCTTCCTAAATGGGATATTCAGGCCTGCTAACTGAGTTGCATGGCAGATACCTATCTACTAGAAGCCATTTGTCTGTTTAATTACTGGATCGTGTGTGTGTGTGTGTGTGTTGGCCTATTACTGAACAGCGGTATACCTCTTACTGGTGGTGGAATGGAATCGGGTTTGCTAAAGGTATGATCGTCAGACTCATTTTCAGTTTGAAACCAGCAGTTTTAGCCCCTGTTCTTCACACAGATTTGGATGCATGAGGCCTCCCCACCCCCTAATGCCATTTCACCCTCAGGTCATTCAGTTGTCCATCCAGGTCACTGGCTTCAAATGAGGCAGACAGACAGCCCCCACCACCACCACCACCACCACAGCAGCAGCAGGCACCCTGTCCCAGACAGTAGAATACACTCTGGGCGAATTAAGCACAAAGAAGGTGCATCAATACTCAATTAGGGAAATGGACCATTAGTCATGTTTGAGAGGAGCGTGCGTGTATGTGTGTGTGTCTGCGAGTGATCTCTTTGTATTACTTTTGACAAGCCTAGTGTGAGAGTATTGACAAGAAGTGAAAAGTTAACGTTCGTCCTAACCACAAATTATCTAAGAGGTCAATACTTCTCTTTGGTGTTCATCGGAAGTTTTTGTCATGCAAGTAAATTCACAGTCTTCAAACTAATTTTGTGTGTGTGTGTAGCTGAGCTGTAAAACATTAATGGATGCATGTTAATTATATTAGTGATTTCTGAGTCATAGCTTAAGCTTGCAGCCACTGTTTGTTCACTTCCTCTGATGTAGCATCTGTCTACATTGTTGAGAAATGACTGCAGCGTTTCCTTTTGAGACGCCAAATTCCTCCCAGGTGAACAAACTGAGCTTATTGTCTGATTTATATTACTGCATTTTTGTTTTTTCACCCGTTCAGTTAGAGCCCTTTTCTATTTGCTTCCTTCCTGTGTTATTTCTGTGCTTTTCCCTCAGAAGAATTGGGTGTGTATTTTCCTCCCACAAAGTATAGCAGCTATAACCATATGATATTTAAGCAGATTTAGAACCCTCCATAGACCCAGCCTAGGTATTTAAATTGATAATTGAGTTGTGTGATCCATAAACAGAGCTAGCATTACATTCCCACAGCAGATATGCATTTGAGGGAACGGGGTGGAATATCATTTACACAAACGGATGCAAAAAGAGGAGAGATGTGAAGCAGCATTGCCTACAATTTGGAAATGGTCCCAGTGTGCTCAAGTTTATCTCAGTACATGTGTGTGTGCATGCTTGCATGCATGCATGCTCTGATGCTTTTTACTCAGCAGCTGCCACATCCACAGGAAGACCGGTCAGTCATCCTTAAAAGCTCTATATCATTCGAGGGCTTGACAGTCTGTGGGTCAGAGATGTGTGCTGTGTGTGTTAGTTTTTAAGAAGCTTGTAAACGGTTTCCGATTTCCCAGTCAAATTGAAATTGTACAGATGTGCCTCGTTTGCCTGTTCTGTCTGTTTCTGTCCCACATTCTGTGTCTCTAGCAGCCAAAACCCCGAGTGTTGTGAAAGTCTGTTTATAAAGTCAATCCCCCCCCTGCTGTGACCCCGGAGTTCCCACGCTAACTGCTGCCTTCTAAGGCCCTTTCCCACTTTTTCATTCACGTGTACACCCACACGTGCATGCACGCACACACAAAGATACACAAAGCTATAAATACAGCTGGGCTGTGAATCAGGTTTGATGTAACTGTGGAACTGTGCTGCTGCAGAGTTTCCGGGATCTGGTTTAGATTCAGCTGATGAAGAACAGTGGGCCTGGCAGCCTGAAATGAATTCCTGCATCCATGTCCCTGCAATGGGCACCATTGAGCTTTTCAACTTGATCCTGGCCTGGGGGGGGTGGGATGAGATGAAGGAGCGGGAGGCAGGCTTTTACCATCTGTCCTTGTTTCATCTGCTGGTTGTTTTTCCCTGTCTGTTTTTGCCACCCAGAAGCAACTACTCAGAAAAAACTTTGTTTTTTGGCTGAGTGTGAATTATTTCCTCCTGAAAAAAAGGAATCAGAACATGCAGCTTCAATAATAAACATGTTTCTGTGAAAAAAAAGGGGGCTTGTTTGTGTGTTTTGGCACGAAACCATTTGAGGTTTATGGAAAGTTTTCACATAGTGTGTCAGCCTCAGTCAGAAATGCTGCAGTTTTACACACATATGCTTCTCTTTCTATAGATAGCTTTATTTCCTGGTCTGCAGCACTAGAGCATGTATATATTATTTTACTTTCCATTTTGACCAATAAAAAAATACCCACAACATGGACGGAGTGAGTGAGTGAAAACATGACAGACACCAGATTAAAAGGGCGCATTGTCTGAGCTGTACATTGACACAGACGGAGGCCATGTGTTGCATGCTTGCCTGAAGCCTTCTGTGGCCCGTGAACAGGAAACACTGTTGCTTGCTTGCAGGAGGGTGTTTCTATGGAAACCGAAGCAGGTGAAGGCATTAACAGGAAGTGGAGTGTAGAGGCTCAGCTGGCAAAGACGCGCGGTGGAGACAGAATAACGAGGTCAACGCACTAAAGAGCCTGCCACATTAAACAAACGAACTCGCCCAATGGCGCTTCTACCAAAAACAACTGGCTTAAATATCTTTTTGAAGCCTCGCCTGTAAGAAATCTCAAAGTCAAGGTTAAGTCGCAGACTGTTTTGATGATCTTCCTGTGTTAAGATGAGTAAACAGAAAAGAGGCACAGCACAAAGCCAGAGAGACGCACACTTGAGACGGCAAGGTAAGCATTTTCTTCAGGCCTGCTTACGTGCAACCGTGGAGATTTTCCACCCCACAAGTCAGAGGTGCATGTGTTTTTGATGTCTGTCTGGAGAAACTGCTTGCTCTTCATTTTTGCAGACCACCATGGCAGTGTTCTGTTTTTTCATGTGTATTTTATAATGTTGGGATGGATCGCTAATGAGACACCCTGCTCCTGTCCTCCAGTGGAGCATCTGAAGAAAGCAGCAGCGGCGGCTAGCTGGCAGCCCGCAGTGAGGTTTCCTCTGTATGGGCTCCACGTTTCAATAATGCAAAAACATGTTTTCTATCAGCTGTCAGTCACAAACCTCTGGGGGCTTTAACACCGGTTTCTGAGGAAAAAGATGGCCAGGGAATATTTTGTCATTTCTTCAGTTGAAATTCCATTTACATGTCTCTGACTAGAAGATAAGTTTTCGGTCTGATAATCTGTGCTGTGCAATCAAAGTTGAGCTTTGCATCAGAAAATGTCAGGCGAAGCTCAGCTCTCCAGATCATGTCGGTCTGTGGTTGGTGTTTTTGCTCTCCATTCTAATGCTGTTTTAAAGCAGAATCCTGTGGTTCTCCACATCTATTTTTTTTTTTTTTTTTTTTCTTCCCCAGATCATCTTAGAGGTCATCACACAGAGATTTTTGAAGAGTGATGCTTATCATTATGCAGTTGCATAATTGATAGCTTCAGTCCTTGTAATTACTGGATGAGTTGAAATTCCTAGAATTGTTTTTATTTACATGACAGCCAAATGAGAATATTCTGCACAACATGATGTGAAAGCTGCACAATAAATAGACTACAGGTTTCTTTTATTTGCTTTATGGTGCGGTTGATTCCAGCCATTTGACACCAGTAAATGTGATTTGAAGTACCTACTGCTTGAAGTGTTTTAAAGTGTTTTTGAATGTCCGTGCTATTTTTACTTGTCTTTTTAATTCAAAGTGATGTTTTTTTATTTAATACGAGTGCATCATTCTGAATATGTTCTGTGTAATTTATTGTTTTTATTTTATTTTTTTTCAGGTTCCCAGGCTAATTGGATTTAAAGAGCATCAGTATCCATTCCAAGGTCTCTAACAAGCATCACATTTGAGAACTGGAAGCTCTTTTCGTAGTCTGACTGAATCTCTTCTACCTCTTTGTGCAAAATAAAACAACCTAATCAGCCACCATGCCAATCTTGAAACAGCTGGTGTCTGGCTCCTCCCAGACCAAGCGCCGCTCACGCATGGATCTGACCAGGGAGATGATCAGTGCCCCACTAGGTGACTTTCGCCACACTATGCATGTCGGTCGCAGTGGTGATGCTTTTGGAGACACCTCCTTCCTCAGCACCCGCTCAGGGGAACCTTCCCCCGAGACCACATCCTTCCCCCGCTCTCCCCGGCCTGGCCTCCTGTCTCGTACCTTTAGAAGCAGCAAACGCTCCCAGTCTGTCACCAGAGTGGATCAACAGAGAGACAATGCCCTGGCAGTCGCAGGTGGGTCACCCACCTATGTGAAGAGTGCCATGTCTCTGCCGTTTCTCAATGATGAAGACAGAGGGGACAGTATGGTGGCAAAGAGTCTCTCCTCGAGCCCCTTCAAGCAGCACGGGGAGTTGGATGGGACGGGTGCCGCCGCGGCCCCTCACTTCTTGGAACTGGAGGAGCGAAGTTTCGGTGAGCTGACTGAGCTTCCAGAGAGCTCCCATCACTATGGAGGTGGAATGAAGCACGCTGTGTCAGTAATGTCTTTCCATGTCGACCTGGGACCCTCCATGCTGGGTGACATCCTGGGGGTGATGGAAAAGGAGGATGACGACCTTGGCTACGAGGAGGGCAAGAGCAGCGAGGGCCGTGCCTCGCCCCCCCTCAGCACCCACGGTGAGGAGGAGGAGGATAGTATGGAGAAGGGAAAAGATGAGGATGCAGAGGAGCAGATGGAGGCGGCAAAAGAAGAAGAAGAAGAAGAAGGAGAAGAAGAGGCAGAACTGCAGCAAGAGCCCTCTATGCACCCAGCTAGCTCTATTGATCTGGGGCCAGAGAATGGGGGGCCCTATACCCCAGAGTACACTCCTGAGATACGGCCCAAACACTTGCAGCATCTAGACAGCTGCTCCATGTCCAGCTCTGGCTCTGCTGCTCTGGATGAGAAACCAAACAGTCAGACCTACGCAGGAGATACAGACAGCGCCACCTTCAGTGCCCCCCCAGAGGAGGAGAGCAACTTCTCCTCTTTCTTGGAGGATGAAGATGATGAGATCCGTGTATGAGATTCCAAAGCCTTCAAAAAAAAAAAGAAAAAGAAAAGACAGAAAGTAGGACAGAGCTCTGGAAGGGGTTTATGTGAAACAAGCAAGTCCTTTGACAGTGTGGATTTGCACTTGAAGACACTGTAGTCTGGTACTGTGGGAATGGGATTGTGAAAAAGACGGAGGACTCTTACTTTGTAGGTCTGCAAAGAGACTGTGACTCCATCTGTCAGAGAGCCTCACCCTCCGCTCTCTGTTTGTCTGTCAATCCGTCTCTGCCTTTTTGAACAGTGAGGGAGCTGACATGGAAGAGCAGCCACTTTTTGAATATGGAACATTCCAGAAGTGCGCAGGGAGGACGGGTTAGAAAGGAACTTTTGTAGGGGAAAAACACTTTCCATAACTAAAGCTCAGTTCACGCTCTCTCTCTCCCCTCTCTCTCTCTCTCCTCTTCTCTTTTCTCACTTGACGTGTCACATGTGCTTTTTTCATTTGCTTTGCCTCCCTCTTGTTGTTGTGCTCTCTCTGTCTGGCTGTGGGACATCATGAGGCCTGAGCTGAACAGAAGGTCTCTGTCACCACAGGATCACTGGTGGGTATCTTGTCACAATAAAGGGGGCTGTGTTTTGTCACTGGAGTGTGAAGTCCTGCCTTGAGCCTCCTTTATCTGAAAATATTATCCTGACGTACCATAAAGTACCGTAGATAGTCAGAGTTTTCCCCCTCTATGTAACTCAGGGTCCTTGTGACGCTGCACAAAGGCTGCCATTTCCTGCTGTAAAGCTGGACCACAAAGCCCAAACCAAAATTCTCTTCTGTTTTTAATTCACTGTGAGCGCCACACAGGCTAAATTAGAGAAAACAGGCCTATAAAGCTAATGGAGATACACTGGCCTGCATTAACTATAAAGAATGGTGTTACTACATACAGGAAGCTGGAGGTGTGAGGAGTGTTGTGTGGCACACTGTCTTGTCTATGAACAGATTCTTTATTTCACCCTAAAGGCTTTTTTTTTTCTTTCTCAAATGGATTTCCGTGAACTGACATGAATTGGCCAGCTTCCTTCTACTAATCCGTCATTGCAAATTGAAACTGAAAAGAGTTTGATAACCACTTCCTTCCTTGTTTTTTTTTCTTCTTTCATACATCTGAGCAACTGCAGTGGTGCAAGTGAACTGTGTAAAAGATGTTGATCCTTTTTAAGGGGATACCTTTTATGTATCGAACAGTTTCCACCACTACTTTAGGGTTTAGGGTATGTATGGTTGAAAATGAGTGCACCACCAGGCACAATTAAACCACACACTACTTCTGTTTTGGTGTTTAATACTGGTTGTTTTTATCCCTTGGAAAAAAAAAATCTTTGCTATATTTGTGTTTATGTCTGTTTGAAGAGTGGATGAAAAAAGAAGACACAGCCAGCAATAGATGTAAGAGCATTTAGAAAAAGATTGCTATTTTTATGCAAGTTGCATAGTCATTGCAGCTTGACAGTATCTCTTGCATCATTAAAAGCTGTGACCAGAAGTATTGAGGCTCAGTTGCGCTGATTGATTTCACTGCCTTAAATGAAACTGACATGTGCCAAAATCGTAATTTTCGAGCCAAAAAAAAAAAAAGATTTCAGTTGTGAAGCTCACTTTTTGGGAAGAACCCGCACACATCTGTCTGTCGCTTCCTTTCTCGGTAATCTCTGTTGAATTTAAGTGAAGATTGAGTTCAGCTTGCAGGTTAAAAAGAATCAAATGAAAACAAGTAGTGTTTTTAAGATGTCATATCATGCGGTGGGGAAAAGACTGAATTTGCATAACTGGATATTTATATTTCCAATCGCTCAGACACTACATAATATATTCAGGTAATTTCCAGGGTTAATTTTGTGCGAATGAGGAGTTGTCTGTGTTGCGTTGTTCTGTATAATGTATATTATGCCTTACTGTTGTCTTCTTTACTGTATATTTACAGCCTTTTTTTCTGTATTATCCAAAATAACCTATATTTTTCAATAAAAGAAAGCCTGAACATCTTTACTGCTGCATATTTCATTACCTTTTTTTTTTTCTGTCCCAGTTCATCAGCAGAAGTGCTTCTCAATCAGCAGCATTAACAAAGGAATTCCTTGAATCCCTTCTCCGTTTCCTGTCACTATTCTCTGGCTCTCCCAGAAGAGGAAGGAAGGAAGCAATTGAGGCCTTAGTTGGACGAGTCTCTTAAGTATTAACTCTACAAGCTGAAAGTGGTGTGATGACTCATGAGTAAATGTGTGCGCGTGTGTGACAGAAAGGTAAAGCTTACTTTCAAAGCTCCTGTTTGAAACCCCCACGGAGCAGCTCTATATTCTCATCAGTGCAGTTATGAGAGGGGTGAAAGATGGATGGATTTAGGAAGGAGGGTTAATCATTCTATAGAGCTGCATTGATAAACAGTGATGACAGGTAATTCCTCGCCCCCTGATTGGACGATGGATGAGTCTGGCAGCCACGTAAGAACAAGATCCTACTCATCATCATGGACTCAGAATTGTTCTGTCGCTTTTGATTTTTTACACCCCATGCCTGGGCTCTTCTCACACACACACACACACACACACACACACACACACACACACACTCTGGTGAACGGCCCTCATGGCTCGGTCAAAGTTCAGTGCACTCTGTTTTGTTAACACTTGCTGCAGACAGTCCAAGGTCTCACCCCTGTATGCCTCCACGGTACAAACTGCACGCTGAGAACACAGCTCCATTTCTCTTTTGGTATTTTTTTTTCTCTTTTTTTTTTTTTTCTCAATTCAATCTTTCATCTCTACTTAAGGGGATGCTTTATCTCCTTCCACTTTCAGTTTTTCACAGTCACATTATACCAGCGTCCAATCTGCTGGAGGGCTAGGAAAAGTCATTATTCTTAGACTTGTGGTAGAAACAGGCCATTTGTATTGATTGTTGTGGTCAATACGAACCAGCAGTGCTATTGATCCCTCTTTTCTCTGTCTGTATAAAGTCATTACTCTCCTCAGATATACTTTTTTTTTTTTTTTTTTTTTTTTTTTTTTGTTTGTTTCTTGGAGAAGGAAAGACTAAATCTTCACGAGTCACCACTTTTGCATTTGTTTCAAAAAAAGTCTTGTTGTTAATCGCTCCTTGGAACTGAATTATATATCATTCCCTGGTGCTGCTGCCTGGTTGGGGCAAATCACTTTGTTTAAGGCTTGGTATCTACTGCCATCTAGTGGTCGTGTAATGTTCACGTCTGGTGATGGGTGTGTCAGCGTACTGGCTCACTTGATGTTGAGATCTTGAATTGGATCTTTTTAATACTCCACATTTGTTGATGAGTTTATCTTTATTTCATTCATGTCTCAGTGTTGAACACACATATAGAGCTTGATTCACCCCTGCCACCCTAAAAAAAAAAAAAAAAAATCTCCAACTCATCACCAAGACTGTCATAAGACATTTTATTGGGTGATTTGTAGTAAGAGGCAGGATGTGAACACGAGTGCTGAAGTTGTCACACACATTTGAACTTGACACTGGAGACAGGCTGATTTGTTCAGGAGGCTCAGTTCACCTCTCCTCCCTTCCTATAGAAACTCATTGTAATCTGAGTCTGCCCCGCAGCTGTTTCTCCCTCTCCAACACCCTGGTTGTAGTTTCTCATCTGCTTCAGAGGCTGTCAAATGTCATTTCCCTTTGGTTTCCAACTCACATTTAAAAAAAAAAAAAACTTACTTGAGCCACCAATGGGAGGCGCTCATTGCCTTTAGGTTTATTATGTCAGGAGCCCCTTCCTGGACCCACAACCTTTTCCACCAAATTCCATCAGCAGACTTGCAGCTCTTCCAGGAGGCCGACGGCATGCTGAAATCTGGAAAGTATTAAACAACCTGCTGGTGGAGGGGACTGGGGAAGGGAAGGTCGGGGGGCGGATGAAGCAGAGAGAGAAGGGGGAAGTTAAAAAATGGGGGATGGGGGAAAAAAAGAAACAGAATACAAAATTGTTCATGTACCGCCCTTTGCCTTGCTCTGTTCCCTGTCCCCTCCCACACACACACACACACCCTCAAAAAAAAAAAAAAAAATCCAGACCACTCCCCAAGCAGCCCCAGCATTTTTCTTTTATGTTGGCAGCAGTAGTTTGCGAGTCCTTTTTTTTTTTTTTTTTTTTTAATGGGTCATAAACAAACAGCCGTTTCTGCTGTGTAGTCCTGCACTGTGGAGGAGAGTTGGGGGAGTGTGTGTGTGTGTGTGTGTGTGTGTGTGTGTGTGTGTGTGTGTGTGTGTGTGTGTGTGTGTGTGTGTGTGTGTGTGAGAGTGAGTGTATGAGAGAGTGTGGAGTTGTTTGCTGGCAGAGAACTAGAAGGCGAGTGCCACGGTTCGAAAAGCCCCAACTGTGTGTTTGTGGCTGGAAGCTAAAATGAAAAAACTGGATGCCTTCCAGACATCCTTTCCCATGCTTTGATACACATATCTCTGACCAAATGTGTGCACAGTGTCTGGGAGGGCATACTGTACCCCAGTGAGAAGGCCCGCCCATAAAAGATGTATAGAATCTTAAGTGTGCCAAGTTGAGCTTTCATGCAAGCAAGAAAGAAATTCCTCTTCCAAGGGAATAAGCTCTGTCCTCACTGATAAGTGTCGGTGCAAAATTCAGAATTGTCAATACTCTTTTCTTCTGCTCTGTTCTGTTCTGCAAAGTTGTGCAGAAATAAAGTTTGACTGTATGTCAAGTGAATTAATGATCATTACTGTATATTTGTCAGTCAAGACATTCCTCCTCGGCTCTCTTCATTGATTAAATCTCAACACTTATTGCCACAGTAATTTGTCTTTGCCTTTTCAAATTCTCTGTGGCTGCCTTTAGTCCAGTCTGCCAAGTAACCAAACAAAGTGTAAGACAGTCAAACTAACAAATGTTATCCTTAGGAAACATTTTTTTTCTCCCTTTGTGTTCTCAAAGATATAGGCCGGACTACGGATATTGGTGCTAACAGGAGCGGCGAACATAAACATTCCAGTACCCAGTGTTGACCTCTTGACCTCTAAACCTTGGAATAGCAGGGCCGGTACCAGGAGACCACACACACACATACACACACACGTGGTGGGGGGAGGAGCAGGGAGCTTCTCCGGTGTCCTCGCTTTAAAGACCTTCAGATGCCTGCACTGGAGACTGTGAAAAATTAGCCCATCCTCTAAAACATCAGTGCAGTCTTCCCGCTCAGGGATTGTTGCAGGTATGTCAGAATGTGGCTCTCTCAGATGGAAAAGTTATTCGAAGGGAAAGCGCAGCTCCTGTCTCTCGTTCTCCCCCTGTCGCCGTGCAACGAGCAGTTTCCTTTATAAATCTGGAGATTGTGTCATAAGCTCTTTGGGCAGGACTCAAACCTTCAGTGTTAAAATGTTGTTTTTCCATCTTGCAGAGCCACAATTGCTAAATCAACCTTCAACCCAGCAGCAGAGACTGTGTATCCAACAAAGTTTTATTGTTCTCTGTGCTATAAATGAACAAACAAACAGCTGGAACAATATTTCAAAAGTTTTGATGTTTTTTCTTTTGTTTCAAAGTTATGATTTCAAAACTTAGTTGGATAATCATATCAACTTCCACCATGATTCTTTTTGCTGTACTGTGTTTTGCAACCAGCATGTAGCGCTAAAATCTGAACATGGAGAGCTCATTTTTGCCATACGCACAGAAACAATGATTCATCCCCTCATTTTCCATTCTTTCCTTCTGTCTGAGCAGTGCCGTGCTAACCTTGTCTCACTCTGCTGAAGAGGAGATCGGTTCCTGCAGCCATGTGTGTCCCCAGGAGGTCTGGCCTGGCCTGCACTCAGCCATGACCACATAGGATGGGGCTGGGGGCTCTGCTGCTCTCTACCCCCTCAACTCTGCCAGAGGCTGCTTCCCTTCCAAGGCCTGCCCACGGCTGGCTGACACTGAAGGAAGGAGAGCGCTCCTTATACCTCCACGCATGCTGAACTCCTACGTACTCCCACATTAGGGGTCGCTGTCAAATGTAAAGCTCCACGCATGAACTTTTGGTAAGTTGTGGATAAAAATAAAGTATATTTTTAAAAAACAAAATCCTTACATTTAAAATGAATGGGTTTGAATCTACTCGACTGTCACTCATTGGTGGGAACAGTCAATTTATCAGTGAACCCAGGATTGATAAAAAGAGGCTTTAGATGTTGATCACACATTGAGGCCACATCCTTGCCAACATAGACTTGGCGCCATCCCAAGAGGAGGTTGTATGTCCATACAATACCTTCCTTGTTTTGTAGACACTGCATGCCCACTGTGGAGCGAAATACTCTAAAGCTGACCAGGAAGTGGGGGTCACAAAGGGTCACCTCCCATAGGCCAGCCTTAAACTTTGACCTTCGAGTCCTTATTCAACTTAATCTTCCCTCTCTCCTGACATAATGAGTAATAGCAAGGCCACTCATTCACTGCATGGGCTGAAGGGAAGCTGAAGGTCAATCTCAGAGTTTGATGCCTTCAAATATTTAGAGTGATGATTATCTGGAAATAAGTGCCTCTTTTTGTCCAACACATTTCTTTCATTTAGCAACGCTTCTCTTCAGCAAACTTAAGTCATTTTTTAATATGTATCAACCTTGCATGTGCAAATTCATTTTTCGGAACGTCTCCGTGTTTCTCCAAAACTAATTTCAACTTTTCACTTCCTCAGCTGTACTTTAAATTAAAGTGTACTTTGGCAGATATTAGTTTTGAAGTTTAAAGGTTACAAGCAAGTGCCAGAAAGTATACTTAGTAATGCATCTTAGTAGCTATGACATCACCTCAAAATACTTTTGAAGTCGCAGCTATACTGAAGGATGTTTAACATGTTGCTCATTCACTTCTTACTTCATACTTGGTTGGGTGGGATGAAGGGCTGTGTTCAAGCCTCTGCATTCCTCACTGAGCTTTATAAAACACACAGTGTCCTCTGTTCACATGGTTCACAAACCTCAGTG